ACAGCTACTTGGATGGCTGACGTGGGAGTTTGGCCTGAAGTTTCAAGGCCAATCTGGACTAGAAGCCAGCCTAAAAATTTATTAAGACTTTGAAGATATGAGGGGGGAGGGAGAGGAGAGAGAGAGAGGGGGGCTAGGATATAGGTTAAAGGGTGGCACCTGCCTTTAATCCTCACAGTCAGGAGGCAGAGGCAAGCAGATCTCTGTGAGTTCAAGTCCAGCCTGATCTTCAGAGCGAGTTCCAGGACAGCCAAGGCTACAGAGAGAAACCCTGTCTCAAAAAAAACTAAAAACAACAACAAGTTATTTATTGCAGGGCATGATGGTGCATGCCTTTAATCTCAGCACTTGGGAGGCAGAGGCAGGTGGATCTCTGTGAGTTCAAAGCCAACCTGCTCTACAGAGTGTGTTCTAGGACACCCAAAGCTACATAGAAACCCTGTCTCAGAAGAAAAGTATATAGGTTATGTGTATGAGTGTTTTCCTTTCATGCATGTATGTGCACCATGTCCATGCCTGGTGCCCACAGAGGTCATCGGATTCTCTGGAACTGGAGTTACAGACGGTTGTGAGCTGCCTCATGAGATCTGGAAACTGAAATCCAGTCCTCTTCACAAGCTGCCACTGAGACAACTCTCAGCCCAGTGTCTGTTTTCTCATTGTCTTCTGTCTTAATAACAAAAAAGGAACAAGACACCTTGATAAGTTATTCCCTTACTGAGGAACTTAAAACATACCCCCTTAAAACATACACTGCCTTCCAATTGTTTTACCCATCCCATCTTGGTGATCCATCCTCTAACCAGGTTCCTCTTTCATTTCTCCTGCTCAGAGCCAGTGTCTTTTGCACAGAAGAGCCTCGCATAACCTTTTGCTCACCGCACTTCAGATTGCATATTTACCAAGTAAAAGCTTTTGCTTAAACATTGCCTCTTAAGAACATTTTCTCCCTTCTTCAGGTGACTCCCATCAAAGTTCCCTGTCCCTCGAGATAAAATGTCTACAACAAGCTGGGAATAAAAATCAGTGTTAGACTGTTTACTTAGTATATTATCAAGGGCTTGGGTTTCTTTCCCAGCACTGAAAAAAAAAAGCAACTAAAATGTATCCAATACTTCTCTTTGTGAACACCAAGAAGCAGTAGGCTGACCTTGAACCCGACTGCCCGACTCCATCTGCAGAATGTGGGTTCCAGATAGTACGGCCTCGACAGGCTTTTGACATTGCTTTTTAATTTTTTTGAAATTTATTTAGATTTATTTTTTATTTTATGTGTAAGAGTTTTTATTTTGTTTTGTTGATTTATTTATTTATTTTGAGATGGGCTTGATCATTTCTCTATGTAACCCTTGCTCTCTTGGATCTCATGTAGACTAGGTGGGTCTCAAACTCACAGAGACCCTTCTGCCTCTGCCTCCTCAATGCTGGGATCCAAGGGGTGTGCCACCACATCTGGTATGTAACAGTGATTTGCCTGGATGTGTGTATGGTGCCCAAGAAGACTGGAAGAGGGTGTTGAATCCCCTGGAACTGTTGTTATGGATGATTGTGAGCCACTATATGGGTGCTGGGACCTGAACCTGGGTCCTCTGAAAGAGCAACCACTTAGCCATCACTCCAGCCCTGGTATTGGTTTTTTGTTTTTGTTTTTTAGATAGGGTTTCTCTGTAGCTTTGGAACCTGTTCTGGAACTTTCTTTGAAGACCAGGCTGGCCTAGAACTCACAGAAATCCTCCTGCCTCTGCCTTCTGAGTGCTGGGATCAAAGGTGTGTGCCACTACTGCCCAGCTTGGTATTGCTTTGTTAATCCTTTTAATTTAATTTAATTTAATTTAATTTACTTAGTAAATGTAGTTCTTGTTTTAACTCAAATAGATAGTGATAGCTAACATTGAGCTTGTGATCCTCCTGTCTCCACTAAACAAGTGCTGGCTTATATGCTACCAACACAACACTTTGTTTACCCTGTGCTGGGGACTGAACCCAAGGCTTTGTGGAGGCACCGACCAACTTAGCCACACTTTAATCCCAGCACTCGGGAGGCAGAGGCAGGCGGATTTCTGTGAGTTTGAGGCCAGCCTGGTCTACAGAGTGAGTTTCAGGATAGGCTCCAAAACTACACAGAGAAACTCTGTCTCACCCCCACCAAAAAGAGTTTTATTACACTTTATTATTTTTAGTGTGTGTGTGTGTGTGTGTGTGAGAGAGAGAGAGAGAGAGAGAGAGAGAGAGAGAGAGAGAGAGAGATGGCACATGTGCAGCAGTCAGAGCTCAACCTGCAGAAGTTGATTTTTTCACCATACGGATTCTGGAGACTGACCTCAGGTTGTAAGGGTTGGCAGCAGCTGTCTTTACCCACTGAGCCATCTTTTCAGGCTATGTTAATTATTTTTAAATACTGGGATAATATGCCACAGTAAACTGTGCTTGAAATGTTTAATACTTATTGCATTGAATTAAGGTTTGTTCTGTCTTAAAATCTGAAGAATTTGTGTTTTGTTTAGTTTGTATGTTTTTTCAATATAGGGTTTCTAAGGTGTAGCCCTGGCTGTCTTGGAACTTCCTCTGTAGATCAGGCTGGCCTTGAACTCACAGAGATCCACCTGCTCTGCCTCCCCAGTGCTAGGATTAAAGGCATGTGCCACCACTGCCTGACATGGAATTATGGTTTTTTGTTTTGTTTTTCGAGACAGGGTTTCTCTGTGGCTTTAGAGGCTGGGCCTGGAACTCACTTTGTAGACCAGGCTGGTCTCCAACTCGCAGAGATCTGCCTGCCTCTGCCTGCAAAGTGCTAGGATTAAAGGCATGTGCCACCACTGCCTGACATGGAATTATGGTTTTTTGTTTTGTTTTTCGAGACAGGGTTTCTCTGTGGCTTTAGAGGCTGGGCCTGGGACTCACTTTGTAGACCAGGCTGGTCTCCAACTCGCAGAGATCTGCCTGCCTCTGCCTGCCAAGTGCTAGAATTAAAGGTGTGCATCACCACCACCCGGCAGTTGAAATTATGTTTTAATCCATATTACTGACCTGTCCAGTAAGTACATATTTGAATATCCAAATTCCATGCTAGAAGGTAGGAAACAAATTTATACATCTTTAAGACTTCTTTACAATCTTTGGAACATCCCCTAACTCCTTTTCTTTTGTGTTCAAGGCAGAGTTTCTCTGTGTAGTCCTGGCTGTCCAGAAATCTCTAACTAGATCAGGCTGGCCTCGAATTCACAGAGATCCTCAAGTATCCTCCGCCTCCTGAGTGCTGGGAGTAAAAGTGTGCGCCACTAGGCCTAGCCCTAATTATTGTTTTGTTTTTGTTGTTTTATTTATGATCATTGTTTCATACGTGTGTGATGTGTGTGAGTGCTGCTCTATGTATGGAGATCAGACAAGTTGGTTCTGTCCTTTCATCATAGGTTCTGGGTATTGAGCTCAGGGCCTCAGGGTTTTGAAACAAGTGCTTTTACCCATTAAACCAATTTGCTGACCTGTGTTCCCTAATTTTACTGTCTGCTAAATCGCTCTGGCTCCAGGATCCCTCAGCAGTTAATCATGTGTAGGTATTATTCCTTTCTCATTCTGTTTATCTCATTGCTTCCCCTGACCTTAAATTTCTGAGTCTGTCTTGTCTCTCAGTGTCCATGCCTGTGTTTGAATCTTTTTCACTGAGAACACAGGCTGGTTGGTGATGTATTTATTCTGTTCAGATCCCCATTCGGTTAAGGCTGGTGTAGCAACTGGCAACTCCATATTTTTTCTCCAATCCATAGAACAAGCTATGGATGGAACTGCCCACTCAGACAACAATATCTGAGAAGGCCAATGTCTCCCAGGCCACCTACATTCCTGGGAATTTTGAAAATATCTTTTGTCCCAGCCCCACGCAGGGAAAAATCTTAGCAGGCAAAACCAAGGTGGAAGCTAAATAATATTCTTCCTCTTCATTGACATTCCTCTAATCAAAGGCTCTTTATTGGGACTTGGGGACAAAAAGCGGTTTTGCCGTTTGAAGGGATGTCCAAAGGCTCTTTGACGAGATGGGACACACTAACCTCGCATCTGCGAGGTTAGGAAAGCTGGTTACTTTCTTCCTTTCAGGTCCCTGTATTTTTCTAAATCAATTAGTCTTAGTCTCCACCAGGCTTTGAGCTTTAGACGTCTTACCTGTCTCTTTTGTCAACCAGCTGTCTCCTGACAGCCAACCCCCTAGCTTTCAGGCTCCTTAGTTGCTGGCATGGTGGCTCAAGGCCGATCCTTTCTGTCTGTAGAGGTCAGCTGAGAGGGGATGATGAGCACATGATAAACAGGAGGACACTTCGTTTCTCAGGCCTCCACCCCCAAACTACATGCAGGCCTTCTCATGGGGTCAGGATGAACGTGAGCCAGAGAAAACATATAGGGATGCAAAAGGGACGCAGGCAGAAGCTTAGCAAGGAGAAACGTGGAGCTACTAAGGCGGGAGACTCCCTAGAGAGCAGGGTCGCCTAAGTCGCTGATGGAAGTGAGGATCGCGCAGGCTCTGACAGCCCAGCCCAGCTGAGGCCCCCTAGTTTCCTGTCTCTCTTCTCAGGTTGTCCTCCTTCCTGTCTTTGACATTTCTGCCCAGGGGCTCCTCTCTATCAGCCTGTCTCCGTCTGTGTGTGTCTCGTGTCTGTGTCTCAGCGACTGTCCGTGGGTCTTTCCGTCTCGTGCCTGGGTCTCCAGCTCTCCCTCTCGGCTTGGCTCTGGGTGGACCGTGCGCTCGGCGCCCCTCCTTCCTGCAGTACTATTGGTGGAGAGGTGGCGGGTAGGCGGTGTCTAGCCCGCCGCTGAGCACTCTATTGGTCACAGGGACAGAGAGGCGGGCCGGAGGCGGGTCCGGCCGGGAGGCGGGCGGGGCGGCTGGGGCCGAGCCCAGAGCTCCGGGCGGTCGCATTGTTTTCCTCCGCGGATCTGCGGCGCGAGTAGGGGCTCCCACTCGGACCCAGGACTCTCGTAACCCGACAGCGTCCTGGAGCCTAAATCCAAGTACCATCTAGACGGGACGCTCGTCGCATCTCTCCCGAGCCCCAAACACGGATTGCGAACTCTGTGCATCGCGGAGCTAGGGGCCGCCCGCTGCTCCCTGGATCTCGCTGACCCGGATCTCCGAGCAAGTACCTTGGGGTAGGGATATAGATGCAGGGAGGGGCAGGAGCGCCGCCAGATGGGGGTCAAGCTTCTGAGTGTCACGGGGACCCGAGTGGGTCCAGCATGCCTGGCAGAGAAAGGGTCGGCGGACTTAGGGTGCGCGGAGGAGGAGGGGACCGTGGCCAAGCCTAGATGCACTGCTGAGCGCAGGGTGTAGGTTTCTTTTCCGACTGGTCGAAGTCGCGTCCCGCTAGATTGGGGGTCACCAAAGAGGGTATTTTCTTTCTTTTTCTTTTCTTTTTTCTTTTTTGAGGCGCGCATGGTGCAGAGGGTGGAAAGCCCAGCATCTTGCCTCTCCCGCGGGAAACTGAAGCTCTGAGACCTGTGGAGAAGTAGACCCTCCCGACGCCCCTGCAGGAATAGCAAAGGGGACAAGTGGTTCTGGACTTTGGTGTCAGGGTTGCTTCTTCGTCCTTGTGCAGGCTGGAGTCCGAGCACTCCCAGGGGGAGGGATCGGCTTGGGCAAAGAGTCCACGAGTGGAGCCACAGAGAAGCATCAGTCCCGGTGCCCACCTCCACGCTTCACCTCACTCCTCCCGGGGCTTTGTTAGAATGGTCTCCCACGGAGGAGAGCGGGCCTGGCGACAGCATCCCAGCTCACCTACCAGCTACGCGCGGGCCTAGGGCCCGCCCCGGCTGTTCCCAGCCTCTGGCCCTGTTTTCCTGGTCTGGGAGACCCACCTCCGTCCCCCAACCCCAAATCCCATACCCACTCGATCTGCGCCTGCAGGCCCCTCCAGCCCCTCCTCCCGCTAACGTGGCTCTGGGACCCGGTCCCGGTCCAGACATTGCTACCCGCCCCTCCTCGGAGCCCCAGATCCAGTGAGGGGGAGACACGTCGAGCCCCTGGCCCCAGGCCCACCTCACACTAAGCGCTCGCGGAGCTCCGGACACCTGGTTTATCCACGTTGGGGGGTGGGTCGGAGGGAGAGTAGGTACAAAGCCTGGGACTGAGAGGAAAGGTAGGGTGAAAGGGTTTTGAGGCTCAGCACACCCCTGAGCCTCCTGAGGAAGGTGGGCTGGGGCGGGCGACCATGCCTATGGCTTCCTGCTATTGTCCCCGGCCGGCCTCCCAATCCCTTCCCCAGCCTCTCTAGACACCGGCTATGACCTCGGCCACTCCCCAGAGGTGGTTGTCTGGCTAAAAGGAAAAAAGGGGGATGTTTCATCTTTCTATCAAGGGGAGGAGGACCTGAAAGGAGAAAGAGTGGCCAGGTCTCTCCTTGGGATCTCTCCAGGTCACAGCATGCCTGTCCCTAGGCCAGGGATTGGATGGGAGCCACCCAGATGTTGCTCCCCCAAACAACTATGGGAAGCCCTCTTAAAGATGTATCATACTTGAGTACAGTGGGCCAAGGAAAAGGCCAACCAAGTGTTTTTAGAGGCTGGACTAACCCAGCTTAAAGTGAACATGTGTGGGGGGTCCTTAGTGTGAGCGGTTAGGTGGGAGGGAGATACGGTATGCTCTCCGAGGAAGGGGATGAAGGTACTTGCTATCAGAGCATTTTGCCTGGAAATGAAGAGCATGCAAATTAGATGCAAATTAGCCTCTATTGTCCCTAGCTAGGGCGCTTTTGCAGGAAGGCTGTTGGATTCTGAAGGTTTTAACATGGGAGTGGTCATCGGGCCCCACAACTCCCAGACAACCTTTTTCCCAAGACTGGCCCTGCAGTTCTAGGAGTTTCTGGCTAAAGGCCAAACGCTATCCTCAGTATCTTCCGGTGCAAAGCCACCCTCATTTTGCAACCAAACAAAATTCATCCCCCAATAACATCTCCCCCACACTGACTTCAACAGCTTTTCCCCAAATTCGCACATTTACTTTTAAACGATGTGGTAAGGGAGATGTGATTTTTTTCCCTTCTTTTGTCCCTTCTCCCCTCAGATCAAAAGGCTTCTATCCCTCTTCGTCCCCCACAGGACCCACCACCCCAGGTAAGGAAAAGACAACAACCCCTGAGAGCAGGGGTTAGAAGCAGACTCCACCAGGGCCCAGGAGGAGGGTCTGGGTGTTCTCCCCACTTGCTAGAGACCAAAGTTGTTTCCAGGGTGAAGACAGCAGTTGCCCAGGGCAACTTGAGGGGGGGCAGATAGGAAAGCATAGAAGACAAGCTGCGTCCCTTTCTCTTCTCCTGGGAGTACCAGTAACCGGAAACAGGGTTGGGGGAGGGAGGAAGACTTGGCCTTTCAATGGAGGGGTCCTTAGCTAGCTAACTCCTCTGCCTCTGGGGAAGTGTGGGGGGGGTCATTAGGTGTTTCTACTCTGTCACTTCCTCCAGCTCTCTTGGGGACCCACCTGACGTCAGCCTCCCCACCAGTGACGCCAGATTGGGCTTGGGTGGACACTTGGGTCCTGGCTTCAAGAGTGGCATTACTGGGGAGACAGCAGGGGGCTTGCCCTGTAAGCCCAGAGTTTCTCCTTTAGACTTGGAATGGACCAGTAAGGCTTATTGTGATCTGTCACAAAAGAAAGAACTCCTAACCCCCTGACCTGATTAATGGAGCCTCTTCAGCCCCTCACTTCAATTTCTAGGGAAGGCAGGAGGGTGGTGTGCACCACCTACAGGGGTCCAGGCAGGGTCAGCTGGCTGGGGAGGCTGATGGGTGGGAAGGAGACCTGTCTTACCACTCCTTTCACCAAATCCATCTTTTCTTGGACTTTGGGCTACAATTGCCTGTCATTGAATTATTTATATTTCAATTTCAGAGGCAGCCTGATGAGGGAAGAAGGGGAAAGCGGGGCACGTACAGCCATTTCTCCTCACCCGTCCTTTCTATCCTTCGCTCTGCACAGGGGGTGGGTCTGCTCTTCTCCCCTCATTGAGAACATGCATTGGTTTTTAGGAGCCAGGGAGGCAACAGGGGGCTTCAGGCTGGGAGGGGCACAGTGGTCTAGGGAGACAGCTGCAGCCAGAGTTAAATTTAGCCTCTGATCTGGCTTTGATGCAGATTCATTTTTGGCTAAGACAGCCCCTCCATGAACACCCCACTCCCCCCCTCCCCAGCTTCTTCCTCAGCAATGGGAATGGCCCCTCAAGTATGAGCTTAGGCCAGGTCAGTGACCCCTGGGCTGTTTGTCCCCTCCTTCTGTTCTTTCTCAGCCTTAGACAGGCCCATGGCTGCCGCACAGCTGCCTCTGCCTGGGCTCAGTGCCTACATTACTCCCAGGGTGCTGTGGGGGTCTGTGAGGGGAGGGGACAGCAGATTTGGTGCCCTCTTCCTCCTCCTAGTGCCAAGGAGTCACTATTTATAATTTTAAGGCTTCAGTGTCTAATTATAGCTGAGAAGGGGTTAGCACAAGGGGGGCCAGGAGGTGTCACCTACTGAATGTCCCAGACCCAGGCAGGAGAGAGGAGGAAAGGCTGGGAGTGGCAGCAGATCTGTTCTGTCCTTACCTGGGGTCACACCGGCAGGCGTCACACCAACCAGTTTGGGCCAGTTGGAGAGAGAAGGGCCTTGAGTGACAGTGACAGCTGGCTGGGAGTGAGGCAGAGATGGTTATTTTGCCCCACCCCGCAGGGTCTTCTGGGGATAGTCCTGGGGAGGAGTCTGCCTGCAACAAGGGTAGAGAGAACTTAGTCCCTTCCCCCACTTTTCTGTCTCCCCTTTCAGGGCCAGCATATGGGTGAGGGGGTACCCCCTGGGGCTTGAGCTGCCCTGCACAGGATGCCCCGTGCCCCCCACTCCATGCCCTTGCTGCTGCTGCTGTTGCTGTCACTCCCCCATGCCCAGGCTGCCTTTCCCCAGGACCCTATCCCTCTGTTGACCTCTGACCTGCAAGGTGAGTACTCCACCCACTTGACCCTCTAGGTGTGTGTGGGGGCACACCTAGAGAATGAGACCCCTGTGTGGGAGGCAGGGTGTAGGAATGTGCCCAGCCTCAAGGAAGCAAAGAGAGCGGTCAAGCTCAAGCGTCAAGCAAAGGGGGGCAAACAGATGGAACGAGTTGGCAGCTTAACTTTCTCATCCCTGGGTTTTGTTTCCTCACTCGGAGGTGGTGTTGCTAGGTGGCCAAAAACGTGACCCCAGCTGAGCGAGGTGCACACTTCCAGTCCCCGCACTTGGGAAGTTGAGGGAGGAAGATTGCCACAAGTTTGAGGACAGCCTGAGCTATGCAGGCCAGCAGGGATTACATGGCAAGACACTGTCTCAGTCAGACAAAAGAGCCAATAAAGAATGTGAGATCTTAGCCAGACTGAACCATAGCAGGTTTGAATCCCCACTGGGCTGTTCACTAGCTGTGCGACGTTGGTTAATGTCCTCTAACCTTTCTTTGCCTCGGTTTCCACATCTGTAAAAAGAAGATAATCATAGTGTTCCACCTCATGGAGTTATTTAGAGATTAAGTGAGGTAATAGATTTAACACAAATGAGGCACAATCCTGAGAACACTGTCTGGCCCAAATTAAGCACTTTATATGTGTATGTTATTCTTAGCTACAGAATAAAGTCCTGTGCCAATTCAGTGGTTCCTGACCTCTTACTTTCCTCTCTACCCATCAGTGAGCTTGGTCTCACCAGGATAGAAAATGTAAACCCAGTCTTTCTGAGAAGTCTTCACCTGTTTGGGTCCGTGTTATACATGTTGGATTTATAGTAATTTTTTTTTTTTTTTTTTTTTTTTTTTGGGGGGGGGAGGTTCGAGGCAGGGTTGCTCTGTGGCTTTGAAGACTGTCCTGGAACTAGCTCTTGTAGACCAGGTTGGTTTTGAACTCACAGACATCCGCCTGCCTTTGCCTCCCGAGTGCTGGGACTAAAGGTGTGGGCTACCACTGCCCGACTGGATTTATAGTAATTTTAGTTGGGCTATTGGGAGTGATTGTTAGGGGATACATAAGAATAATAGCAAACTTGAGTCAGGGGATGGTGGCACATGCCTTTAATCCCAGCACTCAGGAGGCAGAGGCAGACAGATCTCTGTGAGTTCAAGGCCAGCCAGGACTATAGAATGAATTCCAGGACAGCCATGGCTAAACAGAGAAACCCTGTCTGCAAACTTTCAATCAGATGCAGTTCTTTGAGCCTGGGTTTCCCCTAAGCACCGATACCTGTGGCTTCTGTGACCAGGCCAGGTGGACAATGGAGTTGGTCAGAAGAGGAGGAGCCTTGAAGGGTGGAGTGGTAAAAAGTCTTGAAGGAGGACTGGAAGAAGAAAAACAAATGCTTTAATTGTACACATGTGTGTACAGGTGCTGTTGTATGAGAAAACTTTTCCTGGGAAGACAAACCCTTGTTTACTCACCCCAGACAGGGAGCCCACGACAGACCAAAGTACAGATCCCAGAAAGGCAATGAGTTTTATTGGGGTTGCTTACAGGAATATATGTGAGGGGTCACTTACTGGAGCAGAAATGACTCAAAGACAGCTGTGTCACCAAAGCCTACCCCAGGGGGATGACAGCTCACAAAAGCTGGGGACCTGGAGCACACTGCACAGCAGTGTGGAAAGTGTCCTTTCCAGGTGTCAGTGGTCTCTTTCAGTAGCCTGGCTGGTTTTTGCTTCTTGCTGGTCTGGTCTTGGAGGTTTTTTCTTCTCTTTCTCTCTGAGAGTATTCTGTGCAGCTCAGCTTCACTTCCTCTGAGGGGGACTCTGAGCCTTTATTATTTACTCTGCCCTTAGTGAATCTGGTTGGTTTCAGGGGGTTCTTTTTGTTTTTGTTTGTTTGTTTGTTTTGTTTTGTTTTGTTTTTCGAGAAAGGGTTTCTCTGTGGCTTTTGGAGGCTGTCCTGGAACTGGCTCTTGTAGATCAGCTGGTGTTGACCTCACAGAGATCCACCTGCCTCTGCCTCCCAAGTGCTGGGATTAAAGGTGTGCGCCACCACTGCCCGGCCTCTTTTTTAGTTTTTTACCTCCCTGCTTAAGGAGCTCCCTGGCAGGATGGAATGTTTTAATTTCATGGAGGTCAGAGGATGTAGGTATCCTGGAGTTGGAACCGAAGGTAGTTGTGAGCCAATTGATGTGGGTGCTGGGAATTGAACTCTGGACATTTGGAAGAGCAGTGCATGCTCTTAACCACTGAGCCATCTCCAGCCCCTTGAAAGGAACTTTCTAATACAGAAGTGGTCCTAAGGAGGGACTCAGCTTAACTCTGGAGTCAGACAGACTCGATATAAACCCTGCTGCCTGCCTGGTAGTCATGTAAGTCCCTCCATTTGCCAAGCCTTGAACTGGGGCCTGTGTGAATATGAGACCAATATCAAGCAAGGCATATCATTCAAATAACTCACAGTGTCTGGTTAAAGTTAAATGCTCAGTTGAAGTTGTTTTTGTATTAGTTTCTTTAACATCTATGGGCGGGGGGTGCACATGCCATGGTGTCTGAGTAGAGATTAAAGGACAACTTGGGGAATTGGTTTTCTGCTTCCACTATTTGAACTCAGGTAGTCAGTCCTGGCTGCAAGTATCTTTACTCTCAGAGCCATTTCATTGAGTCCGCCCCCCCCCCCTTTTTTTTCGAGACAGCATCTTGCCTTGTATACTGGTTTGGTTCTTGCTATGTAACCAAGACTGGCCTTGAGCTCTCAGCTTTCCTCCTGCCTCAGCCTCCCCAGTGCTGGTATGCACCATGGTATTGGTTTTAGTGATAGATTTTGGGCCTCTCTTGTCTCCTACTCTGTTCATTGCTTGATTTTCTCTGGTAGGAAAGGGAGTTGGAAAGTGTGTATTATCTCAGCTGCCGTCTTCTAGGTACTTCTCCGTTATCCTGGTTCCGGGGCCTGGAGGATGATGCTGTGGCTGCAGAACTTGGGCTGGATTTTCAGCGATTCCTGACCTTGAACCGGACCTTGCTTGTGGCCGCCCGGTAAAATGGCCAAGGAACAGTTGTGGGGCAGACATGCATGCTCCTAGGCAGACATGGCACCTGCATGGCCACTGCAGCAGCTTGCAGCGGACACATGCAGGTGCACAAGCCATGGGACATGGACATGCTTGGACCCAGAGAACAGATGCCAAGGCATGGAGTAAGGGGGAGGCTAGGGAGCAGGAACTTTGTGGCTTGGCCCTAAGCAGGTGAACATGGGTAAGCAGGGGACTAAGGAGCTCAGGCAGGCAGGTGCCTCAGCTCAGCTCTGACCCCTCCTTACCTACCCTTCAGGGATCACGTTTTCTCCTTCGATCTTCAAGCCCAAGAAGAAGGGGAGGGGCTGGTGCCCAACAAGGTGAGGGGCTGTATGCGAGGAGGTGCAGGCAGGGAGACAAAGCTGGGAAAGGTGTAATGGGGGTTCTGTGGGTTGAAAAAGCACCTAAAAGGAGTCATAATGTGAGGAGGGGTCCTGGTTGCTCCATGACCTCTCCTCTATTTCTCTTTTCAGTTTCTGACATGGAGGAGCCAAGATATGGAGAACTGTGCTGTTCGGGGAAAGCTGACGGTGAGGAGGGGAGTGTAGTTGGAGGGAAGGCAAGGCCAGCACGACCATTCCTTCCTCCCCTCTCCAAGCCAGCCAGACAACCAAGGGAAGGAAAGAGAATCCACACCTTCTAGTTCCCTTTACACACCCCAGCAAAAAGAGGAGGAGGCTCAGAGAAACCAAAGAGCCTGGTGAAGGCTAAAGGGCCAGTAAACAGCTTGAGACTTTAGCCACATTGCTGTGGCTCAAGACTGGTCACTGCCTTACTTCCTGTGGCCCTTAACTTCAGTCCCAGGCTTGTCACTAACCTAGAATTTTGGGTTTTCTAGGACGAGTGCTACAACTACATCCGTGTTCTTGTTCCCTGGGACTCGCAGACACTCCTTGCCTGTGGAACAAACTCATTCAGCCCCGTGTGCCGCAGCTATGGGGTACAAAGGAAGAGGGCTGGGAGGAGATTCCAAAATAGGCAATCAGTCTGACTGGAAGAGATGAGCATCTGGGCTTGGATTGCGAGAGTGCAGAAGGGGAGGGAGGGGAGTGGGCTGTGGGGCCACACTTCTGAGAGGTTCCAGGAACCTGCCTCCTCTGCCCCCAGATAACTTCGCTGCAGCAGGAGGGTGAGGAGCTGAGTGGGCAAGCTCGATGTCCCTTTGATGCCAACCAATCAAACGTGGCCATCTTTGCAGGTGTGCACCTGGGCATGTGAGAAGCAGGCATGTGGCTGGAAGGAGTTCCTCTCCCAACTTGGTCTTCCTCCATGTCCTTGAGTGGAGGGTAGGAGGGGTGGGGCCAGGCCTAAGTAGCTGTGTGGGTACCCCAGTAAGAGACAGGATGCAGGCCTAAGTAGCTGTGTGGGTACCCCAGTAAGAGACAGGGTGCAGATCTTGAGCTTCCCCTGATCCCGATCCCCTCAACCCTCCAGAGGGCAGTTTGTACTCAGCCACTGCAGCGGATTTCCAGGCCAGTGACGCTGTAGTTTACAGAAGCCTTGGACCTCAGCCGCCACTCCGTTCTGCCAAGTATGACTCCAAGTGGTTGCGAGGTCAGTCGTCCTGGGGGTCAGCCTGCACATGGGGGTACACCAGGACTGTGTGGGGGCAGTGGCAGGGAGTGTATGGATGGGTGGGGAGATAGTATAGGGCACAAGTCCCTGAGCATGTCTGGATGCCCTTTCCTGTCACGCCTACTTTAGAGCCTACCTTTGTCTATGCTTTGGAGCATGGAGACCACGTCTATTTCTTCTTCCGAGAGGTCTCAGTGGAGGATGCCCGACTGGGGAGGGTAAGGAGTTGGGCACCAGGGTGGGTAGCTGGAAGGCTCTTCTGGGTCCTGAGGACAGTCCTTGGTCTTAATCTCCATAACAGATTCCTTGGACTCTGACCCCACCCACACCCCTCTGCATAACCTTCAGCTCTCATCTACCATATCTGGCCATACTCTCTTCCTGACCCAAATTGATCTACCATAACATTCCCTTTCTTTGCTGTGATCCTGACAGTTGTCTCTTGGTGCTCTAACTCCCACCATACCTTACAACTGCCACGTGGCTCTCTCCTCTCAATGTTTCTCTCAGGTGCAGTTTTCCCGGGTAGCCCGGGTGTGTAAACGTGACATGGGTGGCTCACCTCGGGCCTTGGATCGCCACTGGACATCCTTCCTTAAGCTGAGGCTCAACTGCTCTGTCCCTGGGGACTCTACCTTCTACTTTGACGTCTTACAGGCCTTAACTGGGCCTGTGAACCTGCATGGCCGCTCTGCTCTCTTTGGGGTCTTCACTACTCAGACTAATAGGTTGGTACTAGGCTGTGTGATCTAGTTCCGTACCCTACCAACATTCAGATTGTCCTTCCAATGCATACTGAGGAAGGAGCTCCAAGCAAGGCCAGTTTGCTGTCCTGGCCACCTTTTCCCAGTCTCTGCCTCTTAACATGGTGCACAAAGGGCAGTTACCACAGCTTCCCTGGCAGGAACTGTGCAACCCCTGTTAACACCTACCTTGAATCCTTTCTGGCTTCCCCAGCATTCCTGGATCTGCAGTCTGCGCATTCTACCTGGATGATATTGAGCATGGGTTTGAGGGCAAGTTCAAGGAGCAGAGGAGTCTGGATGGGGCCTGGACTCCTGTGTCTGAGGACCGAGTCCCCTCACCCAGGTACCCGGAATAGAGGTGGCTTTCATGGGGCAGAAGCAGTGCTTGTTCTTAACATTGGGTTGTAAGGAGGGCTAAGGTCACTGTGGCCTAGGGACAAGGCTAGCACTGGGTGGGTCTAAGGAGCTGCAACAGAACAGGGAAGGGAAGAAGCAGTGACATGTGTGTTTGCAGGGGAGTAAAGGTTACCAACCGTGTTTGAGCACAGGGGGGCACATAGCTTAATTAACCCCCATTCTCTACCTTAAGGCTGCCCCTTCCCATGTGCCCACCAGGCCAGGGTCCTGTGCAGGTGTGGGCGGAGCTGCTTTGTTCTCCTCCTCTCAAGACCTACCTGATGATGTCCTGCTCTTCATCAAGGCACACCCTCTGCTGGATCCTGCCGTGCCACCTGCCACCCATCAACCTCTCCTCACTCTCACTAGCAGGTAATCGCTGCCTCCTGCCCTCCAGCACTCTCTTCTCTCTCTCGTGGGGTCCACACGGCATGGGGGTGGGACTTGTGAAGGAATTAGAGTGGGAACCAGGGCCTATGGGCTGTCCTTGACGTGCTCGAGCTGTCTTAGACGTGTTGTCCTCACCCGAAGCCTGTCTGCTCCAGGGCTCTACTGACCCAGGTAGCTGTGGATGGCATGGCCGGGCCCCACAGAAATACTACAGTCCTGTTTCTTGGCTCCAATGATGGGACAGTGCTGAAGGTGCTACCTCCAGGGGGACAGTCTCTGGGACCTGAGCCTATCATATTGGAGGAAATTGATGCCTACAGCCCTGCCCGGTGAGTTCTTTGTGGGGACAGGTCCCTGCAGGGTAGAGGTGGGTGATGGGATGGGGAATGGGTTGGGTACTCCAGTGTTGGTTTGGTAGAATTAGAGGCCTTGAGGTAGGGAAAGGATTTGGTGAGAGCTCCACTGTGTTGGGTCGGGTGGTTCAATAGGTTTTGTTCAAGTGTTTTGTGCACCTTCTCTGCTTGTCAGTCTTTTCACCCATAGTTTTCTAGGAAAAGACAGCCTCACCTTCCCCATTCTGATTCCTTATGGCCTCATATTAGGTGCAGTGGGAAGCGCTCAGCCCAAGCTGCACGGAGGATCATAGGGCTGGAGTTGGACACTGAGGGTCACAGGCTCTTTGTGGCCTTTCCTGGATGTATCGTCTACCTCCCTCTCAGCCGCTGTGCCCGGCATGGGGCTTGTCAGAGGTGAGAGGAGCCTCAGGTCAGACGCTGCCTGGCTATGCTTCCTGGGCTAGTAGGAGCACAGAAAAATCCCCAAGTCTTGAGGGTGGCAAGGAAATGGAGATGGGGAGGAGAGGTGGGGTGCCTTGGGTAGTCTGAAAGTGTGCAGCAATTAGGGTCTGGAACAGACTGGATGGACGTATGGAAATAGAGCTGGAGTTCAGAAAAGGCAATGGAATGGACCGTGGCACGTGAAAGGGGTACCAGCCTCACACATCTCAGTCTCCCTTAGGAGCTGTCTGGCTTCTCAGGACCCATACTGTGGATGGCATCGATCCAGAGGCTGTGTGAATATCCGGGGACCTGGTGGGTAAGTGAGGAGCCCCTGGGACTCCTGAGGAGAGTGTTTGGCAAAGTGTAGAGCCACAGTGAGCCCCCTCCCTTTCGTTCTAGGACTGAGGTAGATGTGATGGGGAACCAGGAATCCATGGAGCATGGTGGCTGCCAAGGTAAACACCAGGGACGGCTGCAGGCACAGCTAAAGTTGCATATGGCTCTGATGGCTTGGGCATGTGCCTTTCTCAGCGTCTCTAAGTTATCTCTATCAGTTCTTCACCAGCTTCCCCTTTTCCTCATTATCACCCTCTGTCTCATAGATGGAGCTACTGGGAGTCAGTCTGGCCCTGGAGATTCTGCTTATGGTGAGTCTTCTTGGCCTCAGTTTCCTTTTCCCTTGCTTAGCCCGCACAACCAAATCTGTTTGGGCTCTAAGCAGGCCAGCACCCTGAACAGCCAGAGGAGACACTGGAATTCTGGACTCTTGGGTTCCAAAGGGGAGGGGCTTGGTGGTGTCAGGGGTGGTGTGCTTTTAAGTCTCACTGGCTCTGACCTGGTCTCTGTTACCAGTGCTTCTGGGTCCTGGCCCTTCCCTTGAGACCCCCAGTTCCCCCAGTGATGCCCACCCAGGGCCCCAGTCTTCCACTCTTGGAGCTCACACGCAGGGTAAGGGGGTTGCCTGGGAGGGTCAGAGTGCAGTGTGGAACTACTGAGTCTTTGAGGATTCTAAGCCGGGTGCTGATTGGTGTTTGATACCCACTAACACCTGTTTGGAATCTCCCTTCACGGCAGCTGGACATCCAGCCAGTGTCCTGCACAGGCAGATGTTCTTGGCATGGCTACAGGGGCTAAAGCTGGGCAGGGGATACTCCAGACCGTGCTCTAGCCTGTGTGTTTAGGGATGCTGGGAAAATGCCTACCGAGACTGTGGAGTGAAGCTGAGCAGCAGCATGAGAACTTGCTGTTGGCCCGTTCTGTGCGCCACCTACCCCTAAAGCTGAGGCGCCTCCCTCCTTCCTTCTTGGCCGGCAGGCGTGCGCAGGGACCCTACCCCGGGAGCTTCGGCCTCCCGCTCCATCCCCATCCCACTCCTCCTGGCCTGCGTGGCGGCGGCCTTCGCCCTGGGCGCCACCGTCTCCGGCTTCTTGGTGTCCTGTGCTTGTCGTCGCTCCCACCGCCATCGGAGCAAGGACATCGAGACCCCAGGGCTGCCGCGCCCTCTCTCCCTCCGCAGTCTGGCCCGGCTGCACGGCGGCGGACCTGAGCCCCCGCCTCCGCCCAAGGATGGAGATGCTGCGCAAACGCCACAGCTCTACACTACCTTCCTGCCTCCGCCCGAGGGCGGACCCCCTCCGGAGCTGGCCTGCCTGCCCACCCCCGAGTCCACGCCCGAGCTGCCGGTGAAGCACCTCCGTGCCTCCGGGGGTCCCTGGGAGTGGAACCAGAACGGGAACAA